GGGGCGGGGGTGGAAATGGGAAGATTTGTTTAGCTTCTGTAAATCCAAGGTCAAGAAATAGCAAGTGAAATTGATTTTCACAAGTTTTCAAGCTGCTGGCACTTTCTTTTGAGTTACCGAGTGTTTGCAGAAGCAGCTGTTTGGAATACACGCGTGTTTCTGCATGTCCGGGTCTTACACAACCCCACCTGTCTTGGGAGACAAAAGTAGGAAGTCTTTTCAAGACAGGCAAAAGGCTTGGTGGAGTCTTGTCTAGATCAGAAGCTGGAAAATCCCAGGTTTAAGCAGCTCGACCTCTTTATCAGTCTGGCTCACTGCTTTGGATCCAGGGTGCTTGTAGAAAGGCACGTTGAAGTCATCATTCATGAATCCCTTTTTTCCTTTCTAACCCAGTGAAACTATCACAGATGTCATCAGAGTAGTGGAGCAGCAAGGAACAGATGCATGGTGGACCCTTCCTGTTGAACAACTACTGTCAAAGGAGGCGGTAGCAAAGGTAGCTTTTTTTTTTTACTTCAAGTACAAAGGTGCTGGAGACAGTTCGGTGACAGGAAATAATATAAGAACCTCATGTATTCCCGTGATCCTTTTCCATCTTGTACCTTCCTGGGAAGGTATCCTGTGCAAGGAACATTCACAAAGCGCGAGATGGGGGTATGGCAAAACACACAGCAACAGATTGGTGCCGTTAATGCAGGGCAGAGATCTCCATCCTCCTCGGTGTAGTTCATGAGGAAAGTGACAGCCTCATTAACCAGATTATGAGCCCAAACATATATTAGTCGTTAAAATGGATTCAGTTTTTTATTTAGTTCTCCTTAACTTTGTATTGTTCCTGTAACGGTTGTGTTCTTAAGCTAACACACAAACAGGGGTGTTACTCAGCCATCTCCCGTTTTTTGATATTAATTTTTCCTTGTTCTGTTTTGGGTTTTCATAAGTAATTATCTGAATGCTATTGTGAAAAGCTATCTAAATTATTTTGTGTTCACTCTCAAAGCTGGTAGCAGAGCCTGTAAAAACTGGTCCAGGAACCAGTTCTAGCTTTGGACAGCACCGATGATACTGAGGATTCTCTTTGCGTTGTTTAATAATGGTTTTTCCCAATAGGCTGGCGGTCACGATGTTTCGGATTACGTCAAGGGACAGGATGTCCTAGACATCTGGTTTGACAGTGGAACTTCCTGGGCTCATGTTTTGGAAGGTACAGACTTAAGATGTCGATCTTTCTTTTAAAATACCGGGCGAACAAACTACAACGGTGTTGCCTGATGGGGTTGGTATCGGCGAAACTGAGTTAGGCTGTGCCAGCAGCAAGCTGGTTGGGACTTCTCGTACAGCTGATTTTCCTTGGAGAGAGAAGGGTTTAGTGTGGGCAAACTCCTGTTCAGCATAGTTGAAGCTGAGAGCCTCCTAATATTCTGTCCTGACTGATTCCGCCATGTGCCATACCCTGCTCCTTCTAACCAGAACGTATTTGGTTTGGGTGTAGAGCTGTAAGGACACAGGTGGCCCAGGTACTGCGCTGCTGGTCGGTAACCCTTACATTAACAAACCTCAGCGTGTGCTTGCGCGGGCTGTGCCCAGCAGAACACAACTGGCATCAGCTGTGAATCTGTTTTAACATGGTAGGTGCTCGTTTCCGCTTCCAGTTACTTTCCGTAACTAAAGTATATTGTGGCTTCAAATATTTATACTTGCCATACGCTATTTGTAGCTCCTACTGCCAGTAGTTGCTACTCAGTAGGTAGCAGATATATGTTTGTATGAAAACATATCCTCTAGGAAAACCATGTATATTCTATAGTGCAAACTCAGGAGTCCTTTCTGCAGGAGGAGTCTGGTCCCCTACATCAAGCCTGTTGGACTTTAAACCCTCCGTACACAATTGCGTGATAACAATCTTGTTGAACTGTAAAAGACATTAGTACCAGAGGGTTTATTTCTTAGCAACGTGCTCAGGCAACAGCACCATCAGCAAACATTTGTTTCCTAGAAGACCTTTACGTATATTGAAGTTCATACTCTTCAAAACGTTTCTGGTTTGGTTTTGAAAGGCATGACAAAGCAGTGGTGTTTTAGATGCACGGTTGTGTTCTGTAAGGGTTTAACACTTCAGTATGCAAAAACTGCCTTTCATCCTGGGCCGAGGAAAGACATCGTGCTTGATAAGGAGCAGCAGGGTGGTGAGGCACTGGCACAGGTTGCCCAGAGAAGCTGTGGATGCCCCATCCCTGGAAGTGCTCAAGGCCAGGCTGGATGAGGCTTTGAGCAACCTGGTCTAGTGGAAGGTGTCCCTGCCCATGGCAGGGGGGTTGGAACTGGATGGTCTGTAAGGGCCCTTCCAACCCAAACCCTGCTGTGATTCTGTAGTAGAAGAACTCCCTGTGGTTTAGACTCACGAGAGCACCGAGGCGTAAGGGAGCTGGCGTGCTGCCTGCAAGGTGCTACCTGTTCATTGTACTTTCAGGGCAAACGGAGGGTATAATAGACGGCTAAAACCGTGAGACTGATGTTTATCGCTGTTTGTTCTACCATGAACACAATTTATTGAAAATGATAAATCCACGATCTGCCTGTTGGCAGCCTGCAGGAGTAAACGGTGTTACAGATTTCCCGGCCACTTCCAGTCTCGCAAAAACCAGTCGTTCTCCTCAGCGTCTCTGCAACTTGGGCCTGAGTTTTCACTGGACTTGAACTAGCTGTGGCCAGTTTTGAGACTCATCCCTTTAGCTGATGGCTACACAGATTGCCTTCAGAAGATACGGCAGGTTGGGAAGGGGGTGGGGAGGAGGAAGAGAGGAAGAGAGATTCTGCAGCACGAGGTTATTGACCAGGTGGAAGGAACTGCTCAGTGACACCAATCAGTGCCCCCCAAATCACAGGTAGCAGCCGTGTTCCTAACGCTTGCCCCACTGCCGTTGCCGGCCAGAGATAGGGCATCTGGAAGGAACTGCTCAGTGACACCAAGCTCAGTGCCCCCCAAATCACAGGTTGCAGCCGTGTTCCTGACGCTCGCCCCACTGCTGTTGCCGGCCAGAGATGGGGCATGGTTCTGATGGAAATGGCTTAAAGTTGCTCTTTTTTCATTGAATTATGGTTGGCTTCCATTTCCCAGCCTAGGTGTGCCAAAGGTACCACTCCTAGCTCGATGGCAAATTAACCAAGCCATCAGCAGTGTGGCAGGTGGGAGGGTGCGACTTACACCCTCCGGGCAAAGACTTGGCTACCAGAGTCACAAAACCCCAAAATGTGCAGTTAGAATAGACTCTGTGTAGAATAAATGCCAATTCCCTGGCACCACCCAGAGCAGGTCCACAAGCATGTGTGCTCTGCAAAGCTCGCTGCAGCTGAAGGTTTCTGGGGATGCTGTGCTTCATTAACGCTCCGTTTGCCTAACGCTGTTTTTGCTGAGCGCTTTATGGTTGCGCTCTAATCCTGCTGCTTGCTTCCTGCACGTGCCTCGGGTGTGCTGTTTGAGAGAACCCTGTCCGTATTCTTCTTACGCAGAGTTAAAATTGGAGCCTGAACGCTTCACATGGGAAGAAATCAGTTTTCATAGCGCTGCTGTGAGGCAGAAGAGGGTTAATATAGTGCCTCCGAAAATAAGGCATGATAAAAGCAGAATTTGGTTCGACAGCATGTGCGATATTCACTGAATTTTGAATATTCAGTGCTGTGGTGCCTAGGACCTTTTTTTTAATTATTTTGCTTTGAAGTTCAGTCTGTGCTCAGCCTTTGGAGGGTGCTTATTTCAGCAGCCGTCTCTGGAATATCCACTTTGGAGAATTCTTGTTTTAAAATGGTCTTACGGGTCTTGACATTTGCTTCATTCCTCATTTCCTTGAGGTGACTGGTTTTCCCAGTGTTTCCTCTATAAAGGCAGGCTGGCCCCTGTTGCGATGTGCCATGGGGAAAAGTCACACAGCGTCTTACCCGTAGTTCTGTATCGTGGTGGTGGTAGTTTTCAACATCCTAACTTCCCCTCCCCCCCCATTATTGGCTAATATTTAACTGAATGAATACGATTATTTTACAACTCGCCTATCTAAGTGTTTAAACTTTTGTGCTGACCGAGAGACTTGAATTTATCTTAGCTGATTCATTCCTGGCATTAAGCTACAGTATGTTTAATCTAAAAGGCAAAGTCTGTGAGATCAAAGATAGGGAATCTTGAAATCCAAACCCCAAGGCTCATAAATTGTACTTCCCTTTAATGACCTCTGTACTGTACTTCAGTGTAAAATAAACAACTGAAAAGTCTCTCCTGGGTTGTCAGACGTACTCTGCCGTTTACAGAGAAAAGTGTGCACGGTTCTAATTAATTATATATAACATTCACATGGAATCACCGCAGGGTTTGGGTTGGAAGGGACCTTACAGGCCATCTAGTTCCACCCCCCCTGCCATGGGCAGGGACCCCTTCCACTAGACCAGGTTGCTCAAAGCCTCATCCAGCCTGGCCTAGGACACTTCCAGGGATGGGGCATCCACAGCTTCTCTGGGCAACCTGTTCCAGTGCCTCACCACCCTCTCCGGGAAGAACTTCTTCCTGATAGCCAATCTAAATCTCCCCACTTTCAATTTAAACCTGTTACCCCTTGTCCTGTCACTCCAGGCCCTTGTAAAAAGCCCCCCCCAGCTTCCTTGTAGCCCCTTCAGGTACTGGAAGGTGCAATAAGATCTCCCCGGAGCCTTCTCTTCTCCAGGCTGAACAAGCCCAACTCTCTCAGCCTGTTCCCACAGCAGAGGGGCTCCAGCCCTCTGAGCATCTGCGCGGCCTCCTCTGGACTCGCTCCAACTGGTCTATATCCTTCTGATGCTGAGGGCTTCAGAGCTGGACACAGCACTCCAGGTGGGGTCTCACAGTCTACCCGTGCCCTTAAAAGGCTTTTGGGTATGCAGAGCCCATCTTTGTCCTTCACAGAGAGAAAATGTTGAGGCCTCCCTTAGCTTTGGAAGTTGCATTATCCAGCCTGCCAGATCTGACAGTTCCTGTCGGAGAGACCAGTATGGTTTGCTGTTGGAATGGGTTGTTTGTTTAAATTCTTCTCCAAGTTGTGACTCCTGGCATTTCCATGGAAAGTTCACTTCTGTAAAGCCAGTGGCTAGTAAACTGGTTGTAAATAACAAATGTGTTGTAACAGACTTTCCACTGCTGTTTTCTTCCTTACCACAAATACTCTGTTATTTTAATCTTGTCCTCACAAGCAGTTTTTCAGTCTGTTACTACAGTTCCCTACTTGATTCTGCTCTTAAAACTCAAAACTGTTTGTAGGTTTTCTTGAAGGAATAAACAATTGTGTTAAAAACCGTAGCGCATCCACCCACAGTTTTCCTGTGCTAGCTGGAACGGTAAGGCCCTGACCTTTGTAATGTTGAACTTCCTTTTATTGCAGGATGGCTCTAAATATCGAAACTTCCATAAGTTAAACAAATAAGTATGTCAGCAGCAGAAAGAAGCATTGTCTCGGGGCTCCTAGGGAGAGGATAAAAGGAGTTAGTAGATTAAAAGCTGGGTAGAGAAATGTTTGTCTGAATATTTGGAAAGTTACGCCACCGACTTTTAGAACCCAAACTAAATTCCTGCCAATTTTGTGCGTAGTTTTGCACATTGGTGGGTTTTGACTTGCCTGTTCTGCTCGGCTCCACTCTACTCTCTTCTCACTCCAACAGTGACCTGGCTGGGATTGAGGACATGGTCTAGTGGGTACGGGAGTGTTGGGTTGACGGTTGGACTGGATGATCTTTAGGCCATTTCCATCCTTGGTGACTCTGTGATTGTTTAGGACAAGGAGAGCGAGTCTTGTACCCTTATGTAGTGACCCAATTCCACCGGTAAAGCCATCAGGGCTTTGCTGCCCTCTTTCAGCCCGGCGGGAAGGCTGGGTTTGCTCTTAACGTGCAGTCAGCGCATGCCCAGCCTGCATGCCTGGAGCCCATGGTGGCTCCGATGGCAGCGCTCCTCCTTAGCGCCCGTTGTTCCTCTCTAGCATTCCTCTCTGTGAACTTAGAGGGTAGTATTGCCACTTGGCCTTCGCCTGGGTGAGCTTACAGGCTCCTCCAGACCCCTGTCTCCCACAGCAGGGTCCTGTTGCCCATGTGGTCCTAACCCTTTCCTGAAATCTTTAATCCTTCCTGGAACACCAGTGACCAGACAGGTAAAGTCTGTTGCAGACGAGCTGCGGTCACTGCCAAAGTGTCCCAGTCTTCCCTGGAAATGCCTGATGCCTAGCACAGGCCAGTCAGGCACGTCAGCTCTCTGACTTGTGTCCGAGTAACTCCCAGGTTGAGGTTGTAGCACAGCTTTTTATTAATTCCAAAATATGGGAGACGTCTTTTCTTGGGTCCTGCAGTTTGTTTAGGAGTGCTTGGGAAGTATTTTGAGAACTACTTAGGAAGCGCTCAAGCGTGACAGCTTGCGTTTACATAACTTATCACTTCGTTTGGGGGAAAGCAATCTTATTTGTTAAATCTTGGAGTTTGGCAAGTCTGGGATTTCTAGATAACAAATGCGATACTGATGGATCACTTGAGGTAACCACACACCGTGGGTTTGAAGAGCAGAGGAGGTTTGACCGGTCACTTCCAGAGATGTTCTGGTGTCTGAATTGTTTTCAGGTACAGGCCGAGATATCTTAAACAAAACCTTCTGTTTTCCTAGGTGCAGAGCAAAGAGCAGATACGTACCTTGAAGGAAAAGACCAACTGGGAGGTTGGTTTCAATCCTCTCTATTAACCAGCGTGGCAGCAAGGAAAAAAGCACCATATAAGTAAGCGTGTGGATTGCAAATGCGCTGCTGCTTCATTTATTAAATACCGGACCTTAAACAGGAGAAAACAAGCTGTTACTGAGTGTCTGATCTCTGTCTGTTCCTACCTTCTCAGTGTAAAGTTTTTCTTGGATTACATTGCAATGCATTCATTCTTTCCTTTTTTTTTAATCGTAACTTTAATAGCTGTTTTCTTTCTCAGTCCTTTCGTTGTATCCCATGGCATTATCGGGCACAGGGCTGTTCTTTTGCCATCTCTCCCACTCCTGTAATCAAAGGGATGTAATCAAAGTCAAAGACCTTGGGGGGTTTTCCTTACTGCACCTCCTGTAATCATCCCTTTGATTACAGGAGGTGCAGTAAGGAAAACCCCCCAAGGTCTTTGACTCGTGCATCGAACGTTGGGCTGGGAGGAATTCAGAGTCGCAGTGTGCGTGGCCTATGCCGGGGCTGTGACATCCTGCTTGTCCCCTGGGGGGTGAAGAGGGTGGGCAAAGGGTAATGGGGGTCCGTGGCAAAGAGGCTGTGCAACTCTGGGAAAGGTATTGGCTTTAAAGAGTAAATGGTACTCTTGGATTCCTCTGAAATACCTGTGCCCTGGGTATCTGCACACAGTGGCAGAATTAAACGAGGAAAACGAAGTTGTGTGCAGTACTGGGACGGTAGTACAGTGTGTTCGTGGCTGGTTGGACCAGACAGATGAAGCCTCGGGCGTACCAAAACAGGATTTCATGTGTTTTGGTTTAGGGGTACCCTCATTACAGATCCATGCTTGCTGTAGATTTTTCACTGGGATTTTGTTTTCACTGAAATCTTTTCTTCAGGACTCTGGTAGTTCATGGATTTACTCTTGGCGAGAAGGGGGAGAAGATGTCTAAATCTATTGGCAACGTGGTTGACCCCGATGTCGTTATCAATGGAGGCGAAGTAAGTCAAACTCCTGCCTTTCTTAGAATCGCTAGTCATGGTTTTCCACTACGGGATTCTGCAGCGGTCCTGTGGCATGGTTTTTGCTAAGCAGCTCTCTTGTAGCAGAACTCTGTAAGGCTCCTTAGAACTGCAGTGTAGCCAAAGTCATTGCTTGGCTGGAGTAAAGGCCTCGAGTTGTTTTGCTTCAGCTGTGGTGCCAAAAAACCCACACACATGCCTTCTGTGCTGAGAGAGAAGAAAACGTATCCTATAGAAGGTGTAGTGGTTCCTTTTCGCTCGGGAATGCTGCTGCTGGAGCGATGGGGGGATTAAAAACGAACGCAGTGGCCTCCCGGGCACACCGACAGGCGCCAACGGCAGGGCTTGCCCCGCTCACCGTGCCGCAGGACCCCCAGCGGTTTCACTCACGAGCCTTTCTGCCTCCGTGCAGGATCACAGCAAGGACCCTCCGTACGGCGCAGACGTTCTCCGCTGGTGGGTGGCAGAATCCAACGTTTTCACGGAGGTGCTGATTGGGCCTGTCGTGCTGAACGCTGCACGAGATGATATCAATA